ATGGGGTGCAGGGCCCAAGCACTTGGGCCATCCTCCACTGCACTCCCGGACCACAGCAGAGAGCTGGCCTGGAAGAGGGGCAACTGGGACAGAATCTGGTGCCCCGACGGGGACTAGAACCTGGGGTGCTGGCGCCGCAAGGCGGAGGATTAGCCTAGTGAGCCGCAGCGCTGGCAACTTTTTTTAATTTTCAAAGACTTATTTATTTACTTGAGAGGCAGAGTTACAGAGAGAGGGACAGAGAGAGAGAGAGAGAGAGAGAGAGGACTTCCATCTGCTGATTCACTCCACAAATAACTGCAAGGGCCGGCGCTGGGACAATTTGAATCCAGGAGCCTGGAACTGTCCAGGTCCTCCCATATGGGTGGCAGAGGCCCTGATACATGGGTCATTTTCTGCTGCTTTCCCAGGTGCGTTAACAGAGAGCTGGATTGCAAGTGGAGCAGCTAGGATTCCAATATAGGATGCATCCCAAGGTGTGGCTTCACCTGCTGTGCCACAGTGCCAGCCCCCCTATCTTGCTGTCTTTAGACCATTCCCCAGGTGGCTTTTTATCCAATAAACAGGCCTCCAAGTGACTCTGTTCCCTCTCAGTATAAGGGAGCCTATCTGAGAAGGGTTTGTTGATAGAAACCCAAATGGTAGACATTGAATTTTCTGGGTTTCCATGGGGGTAGGTGCCCAAGCATGTTGGCCATCTTCTGCTTTCCCGGGCCTTAGCACGGAGCTGGATTGGAAGAGGAGCAGCCGGGACTTGAACCGGTGCCCATATGGGATGCCGTCACTGCAGGGGGAGGATTAACCTACAGCGCTGGTCCTCAGTGGGTCACTTTTAAAGACATTCTGTGAGATTGATTGAGAAGTCTGTTCTTGCGTGTGTTATCTTACTGCTCCATGAGATTTCTAAAATGTACCTGTAGAGCATTTTTCTTGGGTGGGATAACCCATAGTTGGATTCCTGAGCACAATTATTGTCTGCTGATGATGGACAGGCTCTTGATGGGACTCAGTTTATCACAATGCCAGTTAACCAGCAGTTTTCATGTTCTGGAACACTCTCCCAGATGGAGAGGAACCGTGTTTGGGAGTTACTTGGTCTCTTACTCCTAGGCACGAAGTACATGCTGTTTTTGTGGGTGAAGTGACTTTTTTGCTGTACTGAGAACTCCGCGCTCTGTGGCAGACACTTGCAGTTCTGCGGTTGGCCACTAGATGTCACGAGTGCCCTAGGAGCAGGGCAGGTCACCCAGTTGGGTAGAAATGGAACTTTGGGAGCTCCCAGACCCGTGTTTCCACATGGTGGATGCCAGAAGAACCTGATACAGTGTGATATATAGAAGCAAGGTACAACTGGAATAATGAAATTTCAAAAATAAGCCCTTTTAACGGAGAGCTGCAGTGGTTCCACCGGGTATTGTAAATGCGTCAGGTGCACGGGGTACTGGTGTTGCATTCCTGGCACTGAGGTTCGACCTCTCTTTTATGGAAAGTCGGATTGAACTTCCATTTAAGAATATTCGGTAATCCCTCTCAGGACACACTGCAACAGCTGGTATTTTTGTGTTGTAGTAAATCGATCCCATACAACAGTCAGTAATAATTATGGCTGGGTTCTGACAGATTCCAAAGCATTTTCAATAAATTTAGCCAAAGAAAATAACATCACTGCTACAAAAAAAAAAAAAAAATTAACTCCGTTTGAAAGTTAAAACTCACAACACTGCTTCGTTTCATAAAACACTAAGTGTTTTGCTGGTTAGGAATCTATCACACCCTTTGTTTTGTTTTGTTTTGTTTTAATCTATCTCTTCTTGGGGCCGGCATTTTACCTAGTGTGTAAAATACTGGTGAAGGCATTGCATCCATATCAGAGCACCTGGGTTCGAGTCCCAGCCCTGTTCCCGGTGATTCCAGCTCCCTGCTCACGTGCATCCCGGGAGGCAGCAGGTGACGGCTCAAGTGCTTGGGTCCCTGCCACCCACATGGGAGACCCCAGTTGAATTCCGGGCTCCCAGCTTCAGCCTGACCCAGCCCCAGCTGTTGTGGGCATTTGAGGAGTGAAGAGTTCTCCCTCTGTGTGTGTCCCTCTGTCTCTGCAATAAAAGAAGAATAAAAAAAAAATCTACTCGTGTACGTTCTGAGAAGATAGTGCATTTATGTTTAGAAGATGATTTCTCTGTGGCTTTGGAAAAAACGTAGCCGTGAGTTCTTTATGAAATGAAACACGAGATGCTTAAGGCCCTCACATATGGCGACGTCAGTTTGAGAGGCTGTTTTGATTTGGAAAGCGAGGTCTTTAGTTTGAACGGAATGTGAATGCACCAAATTGTATCAGATTTTAATTTCGCTTGCCGTAACAGCATAAATTGGTTTATTATATGGCGTATGTGGCTTATAAAAGCCAAACATTGTAAGTTCTTGAGGCCACAAAGAAAGTGTTGGGTTTCGTAGTATGGATTATATAGTACATATGTATAGATTATATAGTATGCGTGTTTCCATAGTCATAGGAACAATCTATGCCACTCAAATAAGGAGTTTTTGGATGGCAGAAAGAGCTTGCATTGTATATACACACGTATGATACGTACCTACCTGGATCTATACATGTTTATTGCCTTGTATATGTGTATATACACATGTTTATGTGTAGACATGTATATGCTTACATTTTACAAATTTTTTTATGAAGTTAATTCTTGGATTTCTGAATACTTTATTTTATTTTATTACACACAGAGAGAAGGAGAGGCAGAAAAAGAGGTCTTCTAACTGCTGATTCACTCCCTAATTGGCCGCAGTGGGCAGAGCTGTGCCTATCTGAAGCCAGGAGCCAGGAGCTTCTTCCCGGTCTCCCACACATGGGTTCAGGGGCCCAAATACTTGGGCCATCTTCCATGCTTTCCTAGGCCAGAGCAGAGATTGGGAGGGGAGCAGCCAAGACTCAAACTGGTGCCCATATGGGATGCTGGCTCTGCAGGCGGCGGCTTTAACCCACTACACCTCAGTGCTGGCCCCACATTATACAAATTTTGATAGGTTTTTCTAATTTTTTTTACATGGTCGGCATAAGTGTGTTTATATCTTACACATTTTAATGGATTTTCCTTTTTTTAGTTGGCAAAACCAACATTTAACATCGAATGCATTCTTTGAATATTCATGGTCCATTTTGGACTTTGTTGAGTTTGAATTCACTGCAAGCCCATTGTTGTGTAAGGAGCATCTTTGCCACTTGGAGGCTGACTCCTGATTGTTGGAATCATTTATGGAAGTGCAGCTGGCTTTGGCCTTTTCAAGCTACTAGGGAAATCGGCTTCAGCAGTGGGCATGAGTGGACCCTCACTTTGTCTTTTTCTCCCACCCCTTTTTTTTTGTTGTTGTTGCTGTTGTTTTTAGCTGGGCCGTTTATATTTTTCCCCTGGTATTTGAAATAACCATCCTTTTGTTAGCGCTCTGTGACGTCACTCTGGAAAGCAGAGATGTCCCAGCACCGAGTGCGGTCCAAGGTGATGGCCTCTGCTCGGCCTTGGGACAGTTAGAAAGTGCATTTAGGGCCGCGGCTCACTAGGCTAATCCTCCGCCTAGCGGCGATTTCAAGAAGAGGTTGACCAGCCCCGTTGTCTTTATTCTGTGATGTGAATCAGCAGCTTGCAGACTTCCAGAATTGGAGTGAGCCAGTTTTCCTCCATGTCCAGGTTTCTCTTTCTCCGCTGTCACTAATGTATGATAAAATACGCTTCCAAATTTCTGACTATGCCAGGTAGAGAATTGGGGCAAATGCATTAAAAAATGAACTTGAACACATTGTGTGGTTCTTGTGAGTTTTTATAAAAATGTAAGTGGAGTGCATTTTCCATTATTAGGCGGTGGTGAACCAAATGTAAACCACATGGCCTCTTGCTAGGTGTCAGGCCAATGTAAATTTTAATCTCGCCGCGTTCTCCACTGTTTTCGTTTCATAATCTCATTACGTGCATTTAAAAAACCCTGGGCGTCTAGCGAGGACTCCTGGGGATCCCTGGGAATGTTTTGTTTTTCATTTGGATGTTGGTTATGAGCTGGTTGGCATTCAGAAAGCTCATTTATCTGTACATGTAGGTGCCCGTCTTGGTATGTTCAATAATTTTTTTTTTTAAGGAAATCCCAGTCATAGCAGCCGGGGTTTATTGTTTGCTTGCTGGGTGCCACGGTCTGTTGTATACCTCGCGTCCTGAGTTACCAGACGACCGCTTGTAAGATTGACTCTGTCGTGCAAGGTCACGGCTCTAACAGGATTGCAGATTAGGCCAGTGCTGGCGCCCTGGCTCTTAGCTGTACCCTGAGCTGCCGCTGCTGGTTATTTTGGGATGTAATCATTCCTTAGGGCGGTTATTGAAAACAGTGCTCTGATCTCGTAAGACGCGAGCTGACTTTTGTGTAGTAGCTGGGGTCATTCGGTTTGCTGTGGGTGACTGACACGTGTGTGAACCTGCGATACCATCTCGCTGCTTCTGCAAGGTCATGTGCTCCTCCAAGGTCATGTGCTGGCTTCCGATAGAGCACTCCGCCGTCGTCATGTGAGGATGAGCTGTCGAGCAAATACGGTTCTGTGTGGCCCAACAGCCTCTGTTGTGTGGGACAGGCTGTACCGCCTCTGTTCTGCATTAAGAAGTGGAGTTTAGAATTGTTACAGTAACAGCGGGAAAGAGCGTCTCAGGGCTCTCCCTGGATCCAATCAGAGGTCCCCAAACTAAATGTGAAAACCTTTAAGGAAGCCTCCATACCCCATACAGCACGCTTATGTTTTCCATTAGAAATCTGCGTGTCAAACTCAGACGCTCCTCCACTCACTGTTTGCCTGTAGCCTGTAGGAAAAAACACAGCTAAAGTCTAGAAGCCAGTGATGGCTCTGGGGGTATGTGGAAATCAGAATTGTGATTTTGTTAAAGGATGTCCTATCTGAATGACACTATTTTTCTTTCTTTCTTTTGTAATGCAAGTGTTTCTTTTCTTTTTAGAGTCAGCCTTCAAGATCTGAGTCTTGCAGTGGGTGTGGCCACAGGCCGGGGACTGGAACTGCGTGTGGCTCGCCGGGGCCAGTGTGTGGAGCTGTGGCATCATGCCAGCCTTGGCCACGGGACCTGGTACTGACACAGGTATGCGAGCCCAGTGGGGCTGTGTCCCTGTCCCCTTTTCCTTAAATGTTCTTGTTCACAGTGGAGCGAGCATCGCCTTAAGTTAAGTGCAGACGGGTCCTACTTGGCTCTCTAGCTAACACGAGGGCCGTGAGCTCAGCTTGGGTCTGCCCTACTTCCAGAAAGGTAACCTCGGGCAGGGCTCTGGTGCGCCTGCTGTCCGCACACAGGAGTTACCTGGGTGACAGCGTGCATTTTAAGAGCAACCCTTCAGTGTTTTAAACATGCAAAATGTGACAGGTCCCACTACCCCCACATGGCCTTTCACTCACTCTTAACAACAGATAGGGACTTTTTACTTTTTTTTTTTTTTGGTGGCCACATTTGCCTCAAACTCTTACTTTTTTCTTTAAGGCAGAAAAATATTATGCCTACCGCAGGTGTAAAAACTATCTAGAAATTGCTGCGATGGGAGCCAATTAAAACTAAGAAACAGTTTCTACCTTGTTATGAGTGGTGAGGCTTGGAGATGCATCTACTGAATATTTTAAGAAGGGGGAAAAAAATCCCCACGGACACACGCGGGCATGTGTGCGTGTGCGTGTGCACGTGTATGTGTGTAGAATCCCCTCCTGCCCGTCTGGGTCAGGAGGTGGCTGGGACGGAGGCTGCCCTGGCGATCCTGCCGGCAGGACTAGGAAAACAGCACATGGGTGGGAGACCCCTCCAGGAAGCAGCAGCCCACGCGTGGGTGGCCCTGAGCTTGCGGGGTTGGGCTGTCCCTGGCCACCCTGCTCTCCCTAGCTGGGACAGCTGTCGCAAACTGGACGGTCGCAGCCACAGCACCCCTCACCTCCGGAGGCTGCTTCGCGGATTTGATTGTGTGTGGCCCGCGGGGTGTTACTTCGCCTCTTTGGTTTGCATCATCTGTAGGCATTCTTAACTGTTTTATCAGATTTTGTCCTGTTTTTATCCAGCACGATCCGTCGAGTGTTCAATTACGTAGCATTTTTCTTTCTCAGGATGCTAGTTTGGAAGCCAGGTCCTTTGGAAAAAAAAAAAATCCTTTTTCTTTTTCATGTTTATGTGGTCCCACATTGTATTTTTATATATTTACTGTATATAAAAAACGAATGGTTTAACTTTGCAAAGCCATTTGGGAAATCATAGATAACATCGATTTGAGCTATAAATTTACTCTCGTAGGGTCTGGATAGATTTTATACCTTGCTATGCCCTAAAAAATATGCCGTGGTTTGGTTGAACACAAATCATTGTTGCTTACAAAGAACTCAAGGGTAACAAAAATGGGGGTTTTATAGTTTACAGGGGTTCAGTGTAGGCGTCAGTTTTTAAAAATTGCCTAGGCCATTCAGGATTTTAAAAGGGCTTACCCCTACTAGGCTGCCTATCTGCCTTGCTTTGCCGTGTTTGTTGACCTTGAGTCGACACGGTGCCGCCGCGGTTATAGGAGCCCCAGAGCACAGCGCCGCGGACACCATCACTTGTGTGTCGTAGCCCCGTGGGTCCACGGCCGCGCAGTGCCCGTGATGTTGTCCCCGGGAGGTCTCCAGTGGGCCAGAGGCAGAGTGAGCCTAGAGGTCCCCAGCTCTCCGAGCTGCAGAAAAGCTCCCAGTGGGCAAAACGCTTCCAGCGTCAAACTCTGCCCGCTTCTCCCTCTGTCCCTTTGACTCCTTTTGCTAAAGGAAAAGAAAATTTAATTACACGATTCCCGCAGAAGAACATTCGCCTCTGCCTGACCTCGTTCTTTCTTTCTGTTTGATAAGTACCCTTCCAGAGTTTTCCTTGCATTAAACACACGTGGATGTACAGGAACAGTTTTGAGTCCTTTTAGTTTTCTTTGCCTTTTAAGCACTGAGTTTTATTAGAGCTTATGGATCCCACTCTCACTCTCTAGAATAAGCGTGTGTCCTGGAGGGGTATTTCCGTGGTATACATAACAGTGAGTGCGTTTCTGTGCGTAGTTAGCCCCGTATACATCTGTGTACCTGCGCAGTGTTGTGCATAGACTCCCAGCCTAATGAACCACTGCCCTGTTCACGAATCCCTCGTTTCCTCCCTTCTGTAAATACCTGCGAAGGGAAGATGCATGTGCAGTTAATGAGGCTGTCAAATCGCTCTCCAGAGTGGCTAAACTAATGAATGATTTACGGACAGCGCGTTCAAGATTCTTCCCGCCCCCACCCCCAACACGGCTGCCAGCGCTCAAGACCTTCAGCCTGTATCATTTTTGCCAGTCCAGTGGGAAAACACGTAGCCCTTCGAGTGTGAAATGTGTGGGCGCTGCCGCCGCTGCCCCGGAGCCTGCCCCTCGTGTCTGATGGCCGCTCCTCTCTGAGTTACCCGCCTACATCCTTTTTCCGGGATGGCACTGGTTTAGCGTTTTCTAATTTGTTGCTGGAATTCCTTTGTTGGTGTTCTGTGCGTGAATCCCTCGGGCCCTGGTAGGTTGAGCACCGTTTTGAGTGACCCAGTAGTTACCCTTCTGTTTTCTTTAAACGCCGTCATTAATTTTATGGACGTTGAGAACTTTCATGTGGTCAAATCACTCTTTTTCTGTAGGGCCCATGACTGTTTCTTTCTTTTGTTTAAGAAGGCCTGTCCTACCCCAAGATCGTGAAGATTTTTCTCTAAGGTGTTCTGATAATTTTACAAATTTGTTTTTTATTTTTTTTTATTTATTTTTTTATTTTTTTGACAGGCAGAGTGGACAGTGAGAGAGAGACAGAGAGAAAGGTCTTCCTTTGCCGTTGGTTCACCCTCCAATGGCCGCCACGGCCGGCGCGCTGCGGCCGGCGCACCGCGCTGATCCGATGGCAGGAGCCAGGAGCCAGGTGCTTTTCCTGGTCTCCCATGGGGTGCAGGGCCCAAGCACCTGGGCCATCCTCCACTGCACTCCCTGGCCACAGCAGAGAGCTGGCCTGGAAGAGGGGCAACCGGGACAGAATCCGGCGCCCCGACCGGGACTAGAAACCGGTGTGCCGGCGCCGCAAGGTGGAGGATTAGCCTAGTGAGCCGCGGCGCCGGCCGCAAATTTGGTTTTGCACATTCGGAATTGTAATCCAATGGCAGTGTGTATGTGGGGAGAGAGGGGCAGTGGTCTAATTTGATTTTATTTCCCCACGGGGACTGCCAGTTCTCGCAGGGTCACTTAGGCAATAATCCATCTTTGCCATACAGACTTGCAGTATCCCCTCTGCCATCCGCCAGCATCATGCATATTTTGGGTTCTCTTTCTTAGCTGTGCTGATGTTGATCTTTTCCTACAAACATTTACAAGAGAATCTTTCAGGACAAGTTTAGAATTACAGAAAAGTCACGAAGACTGTACAGAGTTCCAATATGCCTCACACCGTCTCTTCCTTTATTAGTGCCTTGGTTTTGGTTTTTCCATCAGTGACCCAAGAGCGATACGTTCTTATCGACTAAAACCTACGCTTTGTTCAGATGCCCTCGGTTTCCCCGAGCATCCGTTTTGTTCCAGAATCTTCCCTGGGATATCCTGCCACGTTCAGTTGCTATGTCATGTTAAGCTCCTCTGGGCTCTGCTGGGTTTCTCAGACTTGGCCCTGATTTGGGGGACGTGCGTTGGTCAAGGAACCTCGTCATAAGATTCCCGTCTGTTGGAATCTGGATGTTTTTCTCACAAGGAGACTGGGGCTGTGTGTTTCGGGGAGTGCCATGCTGTCATCTGGCCTGACACCGCTGTCCATGTCCGCACTGTAGTCTTTGGGAGGAAGTCTACATGCAGCCCACACTGCACAGGTAAAGGGTGAAGTAGCTCCAGAAATTATTTGGAAGTTCTGTCCTCCTCCTCCCTCGTGGGTTCCTGTCACTGGAGACTCGCGGGACATTGAGTCTGCCCCGTGCGGTTCAGTCCAGCAACGCCTTTCTGTATTCTGACGCTCAGGTTGTCCCAGCCCTGGCTGTGGGGTCCTTGCTGTTGAGTGCTTCCATCCTCTCCTCCCCCCACCCCCCCCATCATGTGGCCTCGTTTGTGTGACTCTCGTGTGTCCTCACGCTGGCGCTAGGGACGCCCCGGGCTCATCCTCAGTTTTCCCTGCCCGGGTGCTGGAATCAGCCATGTCCCTGCAGAGCCCTGCTCTCTGTTAAAGAGAGTGAGCCTGGAAGCCAGGATCTGGGCGCTGGAGCTGCTGTCTCTTGTCTGCCCCTCCGCCGACAGAGCAGAGACGTGTATGTGAATTTACCAACCTGTGTGTAAGCACACGCGTGTGTCCAGCCGTCGGTGTTTCTGGGTGTCGTCGCTGGTGCAGCGTGGAGCTCAGTACGAATTCTCACTGCCGCCTCCAGCTCTCAGCTGTTAGCGCACAGACGCAGTCAGCGCAGACTCCCTCCTCGCTTCCCGGCAGACCCCAGCCGGCACGGCCCACCGCCCGCGTACTTCATGTCAGTCCTGGTCTCAGTGTCCACGGGATCTTCAGAAGGTTCCTGACAGAGGCGTGCTGTGCAACACTGCACGTGGATTTCGATGCTTGGCGTTACGATAAATTTACTTCTTCTTTTTACAAACCTTTTAAGGACCCTCTTAAGACCATTCTCGTGAACACATAGGAAACAACCCTTCTCAGCGAGGGAGTGGATCTTGTTTTTATTCCTGCACAGTACAGGGCTGCTCATTCCTTTCCTGCATAAAACCTCTATGAGTTTTGCTTTTCTAATTTCATTAAGAAGGATTTTTGCAAACAGCATGTAATGTGAAACTTAATATATGTGCAGAAACGCATGTAAAACTTTTATAAGTGCAGTTTTAAAAGTGGGTGTAAGACCCACGCCCACGTGACCCACCACCTAGGCGAGGAAATCGGACATGTCGAGAGCAACCGTGTTTTCCTTCACAGCTACCATCTCCTCTGCCTCCTTAGAGGTGGACAGTAAAATAAATAATAAATAAAAACAAAGAGGAAAGAAAAGAGCAGAGCAGATTGTGGGGCCTATGTGGTGGCACAGTGGGTGAAGCCACCTCCTGCAACGCCAGAATC